TTATTGACTGTGCGGTTAGTCGCGAAAGCGTACGGGTAATCGTACTCGGCGACCGGAACGTGAGACGGTAGTCTCGTTCGTACTTCGTGAGCCTGCGATCTCATCCGAGGTCAAGGGCGGCGTGGTCTGCCGATCTGGACGTGAGACGGAAGTCTCGTCCGTAGATGGTGCAGATGACGCGTGCTGTTGACCGGGACGTGAGAACGAGGTCTCTGATGTATCTAGCGTGGGATCCGAGGTAGACGTAGAGATCCCGCTAGAAGGTTTGATAGGTCTAGCATTGAGTCTCAAGTTATCGGGTAGGGCACTGTCATCGACGTGTGCTGGTTTGAGACGATCAATGCTGACGATCTCGACGCGACCATGTCGATCAACCTTGAAGGTCTTTTCGTGATGAGAGATCACGTGAAAAGGGCCCTCGTAAGGCTGTTGTAGAGGTTTGCGTACCGAATCTACTCGTATGAAAACATGTGAACAGGTAGATAACTCTCGAGGGAGAGCGACCTGTCGATGTTGTATTCGAGTTGACACCGGAGACAGCGTTCGCATAAATGCAGACAGTCGATGGACGTAGTCTGATTTACCGAAATCATTACTGCTCCGTGGTGTGAAGAATTCCCCAGGCAGACGCAATGTCGTGCCGTATACAAGTTCAGCGGCGGAACATTGGATATCTGCCTTCAAACTCGTTCTGATGCCTAAGAGAACGAGCGGTAAGGTTTCGTACCAATTGTCGTTTTCGTGTGCTCGAAGAGCACTTTTAAGTTGGCGGTGAAACCGTTCGACTAAACCATTCGATGCTGGATGGTAGGCGGTAGTGCGTATGCGTTCCGTACCAAGCAGCCGGGTCAGTGAGGAGAATAATGCGGACTCAAATTGTTGTCCTCGGTCAGTCGTGACAGTCGAGGGACAACCGTACAATGCTATCCATCGTTCTACGAAGCGGTGAGCAACTGTCTCCGCCGTGATAGACGTGATGGGAGTAGCTTCGGGCCATCTTGTAAAACGGTCAATGCACGTGAGTATGTGATCATACCCATGCGATGGTGGCAATGGTCCTACAATGTCTATATGAACGTGATCAAAGCGAGCATCAGGCGTAGCGAACGTGCCAATGGGGGCAGCTACGTGCCTGTGCACTTTTGATCGTTGACACTGTAAGCATTGCTTTACCCACATACGAACATCTTTATTCATGGACGGCCAGACGTATCGTGCAGCGATGAGACGTAATGTGGCTGCGATACCTGGATGAGACAATCCATGAAGGGCATCGAAGACGAGACGGCGATAAGTAGAGGGTACGATGGGTCGAGGTAGACCGGTAGAAATATCACATAGGATAGTACCTGAGCTAGTAGCTAGGGGTACTTCCTGACACTGAAGGGACGAAGATTGTGGTGCTTCTGTGCAGACAGGATCGTTTGCTTGCGCGGCGGCCATAGCAGGAAGATCGAGCACCGGTAAAGTAACTGCATTCGTCTGGATACGTGATAGAGCATCGGCAACATAGTTCGACTCGCCTTTAATGTGACGAAGGTCTGTCGTGAACTGGGAGATATAGTCCAAATGTCTGCACTCTCGTGGTGAGTAGCGGTCAGACTTGGTATGCAGGGCATACGTTAAGGGCTTATGGTCGGTGAATAAAATGAATTGACGTCCTTCTACTGAGTGCCGGAAATGTTTGATGGCGCAGTAGGCTGCAAGCAGCTCGCGACCAAAAGCGCTATATCTCGTCTCCGTGGGAGTAAGGCGTCGTGAGAAAAATTCGAGCGGTTGCCAACTACCGGAGATATTCTGTTGCATAACGGCTCCTATAGCGAAATCTGATGCATCAACCGCTATACTAAGCGTGGCTGATGGGTCAGGATGAGCGAGAAGTGTAACTTCAGCGAGAGCCGTTTTGATCTCTGAGAATGCAGTACGTGCGGTATCGTTCAGTTCTAATTTGCGTGGATTACCGCGTAGTAAATCGGTTGGTGGTCGTAACCGTTCTGCCGCGTGAGGGATAAAACGTCGGTAGAAGTTAACCAAACCGAGAAAAGCCTTCAGTTCCTTGATTGAGGACGGCACGTTGTACTCCTTGATTGCTCGAACTTTGTCCTCGCAAGGCAGAATACCCTCTTGTTTGATGATGTGACCCAGAAATATTATTTCTGATTTACCCAATTCACATTTTTCTGGGTTGACTACTATTCCATTATCCGAAAGGCGTTGGAATAATAGCGTAAGGTGTTGATAATGTTCATCTACGTTTGATGATGCGATCAGCAGGTCATCAATATAGACGTGAACAAAATCCAAGTCTCGTACTATGCTATCGATAAGCCTTTGGAAAGTTTGAGCAGCATTCCGTAATCCAAATGGCATTCGTAGGAACTCAAACAGACCGAAAGGAGTCGTGATAGCAGTTTTTTCGATGTCTTCAAGAGCGACTGGGATCTGGTGATATGCTCGTACCAGATCGATTTTAGAAAAGATAGTCGTGCCCTTGAGCGATGCCGTGATGTCGTGTATGTGGGGGATAGGGTAGCTATCAAAGCGCGTAACTACGTTTAATGCTCGGTAGTCGCCGCAAGGTCTCCAACTAACCCCATCCTTTTTGCGCACCATGTGTAAAGGAGAGGCCCAAGGACTGTGAGAAGGACGAATAATACCAGCAGATAGTAAATTGTCAAACTCACGTTTAGCGAAAGCTAATTAGTCCGATGCCAGTCGGCGTGGTCTTGCCGTGACTGGTGGTCCGCGGGTGACTATGTGGTGTACCACACGATCGGTCACCGATGAAATCTCCTCGAGTGGTTTAGTTAATCTGGGGAATTTCTCGAATAAGGCGTGGAATTTATCGTCACGCGAATAAAAAGTGCGGAGGATTCGGTACGCGTACATCGGAGTCTATTATATTAATACTATTCTTATCGTTATCCGTCATGTCAAATATATATATTAAAAATTAATATGAAAATATATGACAGACGTGGATAGATAAAACAATAGACTCACCGAATTGCCTTCTTTGAAAGATTTGACCGAGGTTTAGGCGTGTTCCAATATTTGGGTCACCAAATGTAGCGTGGTGTCGAGTTGAGCTGAACTATGAACACCACTACCAGACTACTTGCCAACAGACCAATAAAATCCCGGTAGGCCAAAATATCAGAAGGCAGATGATTGTAGTAGTCGTATATATTTGTTGGCAATCTCGTGGTATCGAAAGAATACCGAGATCGTGCCAAAGGAGTACAGTTGCGATCGGCAAGATAAGATACGTGCGTAGTCCAAAAACCGCGTAAAAGCCATGGAATACAATGGAAGCCCAAAATGGCTGTTATTAGCACAGTTAAACAAACGAGCACAATAAAACAATCACTGGTACAATTGGTTATAATAATAATTGTTTTCATCGAACCAATCGCGTTCTGTTGACAAAAGTAGGTCACTACAAACCTTTGTATTCATTATAACCAGTATCAGTGCCATTTGTTTTTCAAATGAGAGTCAAATTTCAAACAAGTCGTCTCCAATTACACTCAAGTAAAATGTATACAATGAAAATATGAGGGTGTTCAGTTTGAAGATAGTTTGCATTATAGACTGAATTTAGTCAGAGAAACGGTGTGAACGAGGAAGATGTGGACATTTCATTCGTCTTTGAAGTTAAAAGCGATTATTTACATGTTGTATTGGTTATGATAGCTCTGATTCGTAAACTGATCTACTAACGAACTGACATCAGCTGAGAACTTTTAACAGACGTGTGAAACTTGAAGGCTATTTCATAGCAATAAAAGTCGTTTCGATGAATATGTACGATTTCTCACTCCCAGACACAGAATGTTCGACTTTCATGTTGGAAGGTTGCTTCACAATCCCCAACTCAGTCAATTAACAACTCAATTACCTGGCATCTTCCTGTTTGTGGTGAATCATGAGGATTCTCATGTCGCTTCGCAAAATGATCCTTAGTGCATAAAACTAGGAGCTTTATTGTGTTGTAAAGTAATGGTTTGACGTAGTTGACAGGAATTTCTGGATCTGAGTTTTGTACCATTTGACACACGTCGGTAAGGTGTACCTACAGTCATAAACAAAATGATGTTTACTGACAGATTTGATCCTGTATCACCCTGTTTCTTAATCACAAACCTTACCATTACAAATTGATCAATGGAATTTGATCAGCACTGAGAAGTATTTGACACATGGCATTGGTGATCAGTGAAATGTAGAAAGTAGGGATATAACTGCCACACTGTAAGTTCACATTTTTAATGGTGAAGGAAGCTCATACTGAACTGATATAAAAAAAGTGACCTGAAATCATTTCAGCTTTCGTCGCTTTAATGATCTATACCGATTTATTCGAATTTCCTCTCCTTTCAACTTACATTTCATTATCAAGTAAAATCCACAGTTAATCCACCCATAATCTGTCGTACAAGGGAAACTATTTTGACTTATTATATTTGGTACGTAGGTTGTGACTGGTCCATAATCGCGTGTTGAATTATTTGATAAAACTTGGAAAATTTCATCCCAAAATCACAATACATAAACCTGAACATGTAACTGATTTTAGTTGTGATCATCATCGTTACGTGTATAGTAATAGTAAAATTATATAGAAAATACCGGTTCATAATGTTAATCGACATATGGAGCTTTTGCAGATATTAAGTAATACATGCCTTAGTGAATTTGAACAAATCGTTGGAAAAGTAATTCTATATCATTACGTTATTTATTTAATGATTCCATCATGTTACCTAATTCTTTTCCATGTTCAGCCAGTCTTTTCTTTTCTCTTTGCATAATTGTCTACCTATGAATCAATTTATAATATATTCATATAAATGTTTGAAGGTAGGTTACTATTATGAAAGTCTATTGATAGTTTAAGGTCATTTTATTTTCACTTGTTAATAATATAAATATATAAGTTTTCAAACCCTGTTCATTTCATTTAAGAGCACAATTTGTATATTCTTTATTCTACCATCATGGAAAGATTAACAGCTACGGTTAAAAGCACTGATATGCATGAAGATATACAACAAAAAGCTGTTGAAACAACTGCTACTGCAATGGAGAAATACACTGTTGAAAAAGATATTGCAGCTTATATTAAAATGGAATTTGATAAATATTACCATCCAACTTGGCATTGTATTGTAGGTAAACACTTTGGAAGGTATGTACAATAACATCATTTGAATAATTTCCATTATTTTTTTATGATGTATATATATACATTGAAAAGTTGTATGGCTTTATTTAAGATTTTCAAATGATGAAGATTTAACACTTCATCATTTGATCTTACGTATCAGATATTAAGTTGTTCATCTAGAAAGCATGAAATTCTAGCAAATCATTGTGGATTGATTAAATATTATTACTGATTAACAAGTTAGTAATATGAACAATAAAAAAATAATCTGAATTTAATGCAAATAGAATTCAAAACATGTAATCTATTTCACTTGATATTGTTTTTTTTTTAATATTTTATTTGTTTGAATCTTCCCATTGATGTTTAGGACTGAAATTGTTCAGTCTCTTATTGGCATATGTGCATACTGTGCGTATGCCTGTATAAGAGACTGAACAATTTCAGTCCTAAACATCAATGGGAAGATTCAAACAAATAAAATATAAAAAAAACAAAAACAAAAACAAAAACAATATCAAGTGAATTAAACTTCACCTCATTGCACAAGCAAGTGGCTATCAGGACTCAGTAGCTAAGTGGATAACACGATGGCGTTTGAAGCGGACGGTACCGGGTTCGAATCCCGGAGTGGACATCAACTCCGAGATGCAGGTACATTCAGCTGACGAGTCCCAAATAGGACGAAACGCGCGTCCTGGATTCCACTGCTAGCCACTATCCACCTTTTCTTATAATGTAATCTATTGTTTTTAGTGACAGGTATCTACCTCAGTACAATAGAAGATGGTCGCTCAATTTCGTGGATTGTTTGAAGTTAGACATTAACATCATTCGATGCCAGCTCAGTGGTCCAATAGGTCAAGCGTTCGCGCGCGAGACTGAAGGCCCTGGGTTCGAATCCCGCGAGAGGGATCGTGAGTGCATACTGTTAAGGAGTCCCATAATAGGACGAAACGGCAGTCTACAGCTTCCGGGTTTTCAATGGTGGCCTAACATCAATCGGTTCATGATCTCAATCAAAAACTTAATAATCTCCCTATACTGATGTCTATTGTTTTTCTTTATTTTCAGTTATGTAACACATGAAGTAAACTGTTTCATTTATTTCTGTTTGAAAGATGTGGCAATACTCCTTTATAAATGTGGTTAATATTTCAATGTTATCAATCACATGATATATGAACCAGAATTTTTAATCAATTATTTTCATGTTCAATAAATCAAATCATTTTGACAAAAGATCATTCCGTTTTATTATTATTTCTAAGTAGTCCTATAAACAAAAATACTACACTTACAAAACAGTGTATGCAGTTCTTATAGAGTTAAGTCAGTACAAACTACATTTCGGATATAAACGCTTATTTGATGTCGGATTGTCTTTCAGATATAATATGTTAGTCAAGTTTAGTTGATCTCTGATCTGTTCTGTTAACTCGTAGTGGCTGGCTGCTGTTTTCATTCAATAGGTAATTGAATCACTATGCAATTTAAGGCTCATATTTTTTGTGCAAGAATTATATTGATTGTATCCATTATTCAACTATTTTCTTTGAGAATAATGTAGTTTGTTAGTATTCAAATGAATTTATGCGGAACTCAGTAGTATGTTCATGTGGATGAAATAATTTCTCCGATCAGTGTCTAGTAGTATAAGTCGATGTGGATTACTTACCTTATATGCAAATAATGCGAATTATTTTCATGCGTATTTGGAAGTTGAATAACATTTTGCTTATTAGTTTGTGAGTGAAACTTTACTTCTTTAAGTGAACTGATCAATAGATGCCTCTGTTGTTTGACTTCCTCTAAATCTTGAGTCGTCAATAAACTTTGGAAGCTAATATTATATCACTTGTTCTGTAGGATTGACCTTGACCATTTGGAGCGAGGAGTCGAGTCGCGGTTGACTATGATCACCACTACAAGAAGACTACGTGCCAGTTAACCAATAAGATCCCCGTAGGCCAATATCAGAAGGCAGATGATGGCTGTAGTCGAGATGTATTTGTTAGCGATCTCGTGGTATCAAAAGAATACCGAGATCGTGCCACAGGAGTACAAGAGGATTCACTGAGCAAACGTAAGCGCGTATAAGGTCACAGTCAACGGAAGGAAGAATGCCTTTGGTACAGTTAAACAAACAAGTACAGTAAAACAATCACTGGTACAATTGGTTACAATAGTAATAGTTTCCATTACATCAATCGTGTTCTGTTGATCAAAGTAGGTCACTACATATTAATGAAATGATCTGATGTCTATCGGTCTGCCAATCTCAAGCCTTCCTCTTTTCACTGTGACTTTAATCAGAGAACATTGTGACATACGAACCTCTGTCATTATCTTCAAGAGAGCATGAGTTCATATGCAAATATTATTATATTACAACAACCTGAATAAGAAACCATAGTTTATGCATCGGTAAAACAAAAGTATCAGAGAACATAGGAAACGATGAATAATTGTTTAGAAATAGCTAGACAATTGTATAACGTTCTGTGATCATAAAACAGTTAAACGGAAGCTTACAATATGAGGAATATGGAAGTATACTAAACCAAGTTTTCATAATAATACAATTCCAATGGATGCATCAATGATCCATAAAATGGATCCGAAGTGATCGTTTCATCAACATTTGTTCTGTTGAAATAGTGAGTAATAATCCTCCTGATAAATGGTGATATAATCCAATTAGCTCAACGTATGAGAAAATTGTAATTTGAGAATAAAATTTCCATAGCACTTGTAAGCGTGCTTACTCACTCACGTACACCTGTTCAATCTGGTAAAGCATATGGCATTGATCAAGAATCTCCAACCTATTATGTCCTGGACTCTTCTTTCCACTTACTCTCAAGTGCCGCTGATTCTTTCGACGTCTGCCTCTAATTGCCGATGCAATCTATATTCTGGTCTATCCCTTTTCCGTTGAATTTGAGGATTCCAAGTTAAGGCGATAACATTCTGCAACGCTAAACCTTTTGATTGACATAAAGAACCATCATTTGTTTACTGGTTAAACAAGTATATTTTGTCAGAACACCTGTTAATTTCTTATGAATATAAGGGTCAAGTTTGTTGAGCTGGATACCGATGAATTCGGCTAGTTGCAAAACATTTACAAGAAAAACTGACTTTGCAATTGGTGGGTTCCAGTCGATGATTTAACAAGTATTGTTCGTATATACTTGATGTCCAATTATATTGATATACAGTTTTCTTACCTAATAAGCAATAAACAGAGGAGAATAATTTCTCGTTTCATCTAGCTGGACTTGACAATTTAGTGAGCTCGGTGAGCTTTTTCTCGTTTCCAAACTCTAATTTTCAATCTCTATACTCTTCATGTACTACAACCTAGATTGAAGGGCATTTTTGATATTTCTTTCTATCTTTGACTGCAAATCACAGCTAATTTGGACACAGTATTTCTGTTGTTTGTTATACGAATTTGATGAACACCTGATCTTCCAGCTATAAAACATTCTTTCACGAATTGTCCTGCGGAGAACAACTAGACTACTAGACTGGATGTCATTAGTGGCCACTCGGTTATTTTTCATCTACTTTTCTATCTGATGGATTGTTTCGTTCATGTAGGACATGTTATTATTCTCAGTATGTTTAAGATTGCTCGATTTCAAATCCATGATATGCGTGACTACAGATTTCCAGTGGTACAAATGTCGTCTGAACGAACTTTGGTCTGTTTCAGATTATCCATTCAGGTTTTATCATGATCATTTGTAACGTCCATCCAACAGCAAATGTTCGACTGTCTTGGGGGTACTTTGTCTCTTTAGATAATATTTCAAACAATGTCTTTTTAAAACCTGGAGTGAGAAAATGAACAGGGAATGTGAACGGATATCTCAGTATTCTCACCCAGGGCATTTATACTTATTGATGAAAACATTCAATTAAAGTCTCTGATGGTATAGATATGAAATTTAAGTAATTTGATTATCGAAACAAGAAGTTTCGTATACGTAACATATACACAAATAACGATGATTACAAATAATACTAATGTACAACGTAAAAAATGAATCAGTAATTAAATTATGCTTGTTATTACTATGCTTAGTCGTTAACTGATTTATAATGGTTCTCATGCTTGAGTATCTCTGCTTTCATGGCCATTTACAATAAAACATCTTTAATACACAAATATATGTCACATGACCTTAACTAAAATTTATTCCACTTTTTTTGCATTACAAATGGCACACTGTAATACAATTCACTATTGTAATGATTTGCTAGCAAAATTTTGTAGTGTTGATCAATTTTTAATTTGACTTCAACAAGGAGGATCAGATGCAGACGTAAAGGCGAGGATTGACAAAGCAATGTCCACATTCCTACAGTTGAAGAACATATGGAACTCAAAACAACTGTCAACCAGTAGCAATCAAAATCTTTAATACGAACGTCAAGACAGTTCTGTTGTACGGAGCTGGAACTTGGAGAACTACAACCACCATCAAGAAGGTACAGGTATTTATCAATAGCTGTCTACTCATGATACTCAACATCCATTGGCCGGATATCATCAGCAACAGCCTTTTGTGGGAGAGAACCAACCAGCTTCCAGCTGAAGAGGAAATTAGGAAAAGACGATTGAAATGGATAGGACATACATTGAGGAAATCATCAAACTGCATTACGAGACAAGCGCTAACTTGTAATCCTGAATGGAAGAGGAAAAGAGGAAGGCCAAAGAACGTAGTACGTCGGGAAATAGAAGCAGATATGAAAAGGATGAATAAAAACTGGAAATAGCTGGAAAGGTTTGCCCAGGACAAGGTTGGATGGAGAGTGCTAGTGGGCGGCTTATGCTTCTTCACGAGGAGTGACGGGCGTAAGTAAGTAAGTTTAGAAAATTTCATTTACTTCACTGGCGCATACCTATATCAAAGTTTACGTGACAAAATATTTATAAAGTTAACATTTAAATAAATGACTTTAGCTAAAATTCATTCTGACTGAATTACAAATTCATGATTGAAATTTAGCTGATTTATTTAAATAGTTAAACTGATAGGTTTTTGATTGAGATCATGAGTCAATTGAAGCTAGACCACCACGTAAAACCTGGAAGCACTCGATGGCCATTTCGTCCTAGTATGGGACTCCTCAGCAGTGCGCATCCACGATTCCGCCCCGCGAGGTTCAAACCCAGGACCTATCAGTATCGCGGGCGAAACTCATTCTGATATTAATTATCGTATGTTCACTAGTGACTGGCTTCAAGAAGTATTTCCTGGGGTTCTAGTGACAAGCTGTGGAGTTCAACCGGATCTGTTGTGAGAAAATAACTCACTGAAGACAATGGTGGATGTGTCGATCGATTTCGTGGATTAGTTGAAGTTAAACACTTGTAGAGGTTAACCAAGTTTGTTGAGATAAATTTCCTCTATATTCGACTCCAAATAAAGATATCTCATTAACCGAGTATTTAATACAGGCTTAATCTCCTAGTAGAATTATCGATTTACTCGAGATCATTAAAAAGCCCAAAAATCAGTTATAGAGATAGTTTATTGTGAAAGCTTGGTAAAGTCCACAAGCATACAGCAAGCAAGCACCGAGTGAGACAAAAATCAAAGTGTGTGTGTCTGCGTTAAAAGATCCATATATATTTTTGAGTATCAATCAAGTGTAGATAAATTATTGATTATCTATGTGTCACAACTAATGAGGAATAGAATAGGGATTGAAGTGCAGACACACGCTCAATCATACTCATATGGAAATTAACACAGTTGTGTAGACAAATAATACATTAATGGAATGGATTGTCTTGCTACATAAGCTCCCATCCAGAACATTGATGTTTTTATTTACAAAAAAAATTTTATTAACATCTATGTTCGACAAAAAGATGAAAAACGAAATTGTCTTTAAAATAAATGGTACAACTTGATATGATGATGAGTAAGCGTTAAGTTGTCATAACAGCTTGTGTGTTGAAACGCTTTGTATCATGTATGTATAAATGTATATCTAACATCAACGAATTTCATCAAGTTAAAATGTAAGCATAATGAAGATCCGTGGGGCCAATAAAAAATAGTAATGAAAATAAAGAAGGATTTTTGTGGTATAAGAGCAATCTCAGGACTTGGTTTAGATAAATAT